AGCACGTACCCTCCCCAGTGTCTATCACCCAGTCACCCCATCCCTCCCACCCCACCCCCCACTCCAGCAACCCTCAGTTTGTTTCCTACAATTAAGAATTCCTCATATCAGTGAGGTCATATGATACATGTCTTTCTCTGTTTGACTTATTTCACTCAACATAATACCCTCTAGTTCCATCCACGTCGTTGCAAATGGCAAGATCTCATTCCTTTTGATGGCTGCATAATATTCCATTGTATATATATACCACCTCTTCTTTATCCAGTCATCTGTCGATGGACATCTTGGCCCTTTCCACAGTTTGGCTATTGTGGACATTGCCGCTATAAACATCGGGGTGCATGTACCCCTTCGGATCCCTACATTTGTATCTTTGGGGTAAATACCCAGTAGTGCAATTGCTCTCAGCCATATTCTGGGAGGGAATTAAGCCTTACTGTATTAACTTTGCTCCTGTGCATTTAGGATGGCACTAAGAGAAACAAGGAAATAGACACCGAAGATTATTTTCTGTGTTCTGTGGTTCCACGAGGAATCTCAGTTGAGCCAGGCTGGGACCTGGTAGACCCAGAAGCCTCCCGCCTCAATGCCTACACCAGGGTGCCCCAGGGAATGAGAGGCCCAAAGGAGGCAGGGACTCACCCAAGGTCGCACAGAGCTGGTGGCAAAGCCAGCATTCAAAACCAGTCCTTAGATGCCAAGCCAGGACTGTACGATGGGTGACGTGACCATTTCCATTCCTTCTACATGGTGCTGGGGTTGACTTTTCTGGTCGTGACAGTGAATTGGTGGAGTTTGGGAGGCCTGAGCAGTGCCCTCCTCTTCCTTGTGAGGAAGCTCTGGCTGGTTCTGGGCTGTGGGTGGCTAAGTGCATTGCAGCCCCTGGCACGGGGGGAGGCGGGGCAGCAGCTAAGTGGTTTCTGAAAAAGGGCAGAAACGATGGGAAAAGCTCTGGGGTCCTCTGGGAATCAGAGCCACGGCAACAGCAGCTGCGGCCATTGCTGGAAAACGTTTTCCTTGAGTGCCAGAGCGGACCCACAGCTCGTCCCTGCAGCGCTGAGTCACCACGACCTGGGGAGGGGCCAAGGCCCCTCACCGAGGCAGGGGAGGCAACTCTTCTCCCCACACCATTCCAGCTCTCCCCTCAAGGAACGACGGCCTTGGAGCTCCGGGACCCGCCGTGTCTGGGGTGTGCCTGCGTCTAGCTGGTGAGTCCTTTTTGTTGTTTGATGGCCAGGGTCGATGTTAGCTTTTAGAATGGCATAGTGAGCTGTCGGAAGCTGGGCCTTGCCTCTGTCCAGCTGTGTGACTATGAGCAGTTCAACCAGCCTCTTAGCACCTCAGCCAGCCCATCTGAACTTGGGGTAATCACAGTGACTGCCTCAAAAGTCGTGGTGACGCTGAAGTCAAGCTATAGCTATCGTGCACTTAGCGTGGCTAATCACGAACACTTGGCAAGTGATAGCGGAGGTTGCTACTGTCGATGTGTATTATTTGCACCAGAGTCATCCTGGACCCTCATCCTGGAGCAAAGAGGCCATGGGTCTTGCTGAGGCCAGTGCTTTGTGGCTGGAGGTTTCGCCACACTGCCCTCTCTGTACCAACGGGGCGCTGGGCTGGGAGGCAGGAGGCCTGGGTTCTTGTCCAGGCTCCAATCACTCTCTGTTTTGCGTAGAGTTCCTCTGGCTCTTCATGCATAGGTTGGGTAGCCCCCCAGATCTCCATTCCTCTTTAGAAAATGCTCAGATAGGCCAAGAGGGCAAGACCGATGTGGGCTGGGTCCTGGACCAGCTCCCAAGAGCTTGCAGGGAGGCCAGAGGCAGACAGATACTTTGAGCAGAGAGGGAGTAGGAGAGCTGCATGCCAGGATGTCTCATCTGGACTGGGGAGAAGAGGAAGGCTTCTCCTAGGGGGTGGACAGTGTCCTTCCTGGCTCTGGAGTTGAGGAAGACCCAGAGGCCAAACCAAGTCTTTGCTGAGCCGGGTCATTTTTTCAGGACTGTCCTTTAGTCCAGATTGGTGTTTGTGAATCTTGCATAAACCAGAACCACCACCTCCATCAGACACCCCAAGTCATGGCTGGAAATTCCCCCATCATTGCAGAACATTCAGCTGTGACAGGTACATTGCCACGGGACTCACGTGCTAGACACACCCAGGCCTGGCAGCGGCAGGCCATCCTGTCCCTGTCCTACCCCACAACCCAAAGCAAATGGCCTCTCAGTCCCTGTCCTTCCTTCCCTCTGCTCCTGAAGAAGCCTGGCTTCCAGTAGGGAATCAGGTGCAAGGCATGCAGTGCAGATTTGGGGTTTCTTGACCTACTGAATGATGTGACTGTGTGGGCTGCTTCATGTTTCTTGGGTTTGGTTAGATTTGGACCAGTCAGAGGAAGAGGCAAAAAGGAACATCGCAGAATGATTTTGTGGAGACTCCTGCTAATGGGTGCTCTTGTTGGGATGTTAAGAGCTGTGAGCCAGGCAGCAAGTTTATTCTTGGTTTTGTGGCCAATCTTATCCAAGGGAATAGCCCTGGGAGAGCCAGGCCTGGCATGTGGCCTGGATCTTACTCAGGCTTCATTTTGGGCTTTGAGCTTCCTGGGATGCTTGTTTGAGCAGGAAGGTGCTACAGGTTCTGATAGGAAGGGTGTTGTCCCTGCCTGCCTGGCCCCAGGGCTGGGGAACCCTGGTCTGATCAGCCCCCTGCCCTGGGGTGAGATCTAGGGCTGAGTTTAATGGCTGAGAAGAGCCCTGAGCCTTCAGAGAGGTGGTGGGGTGCTGGAGATGCTCTAGGAGCCGGGCTGCCGAGTACCAGATCCAGCTTCCTCCTCTGCCTGTGTGGCCTCATGTAACTGCTATCAAATACTTACTCTGAGTCTCCTCACCTGTCAAATACTTACTTCTTAGAGATGGGAAAGTGAAGTGAGTGCATGTGAAGTGTTAGAACGGTACCCACCTTTGCGCAGGACATGCTCAAGCACGTCAATTATTTTCATTCTTACTAGCCTCCTGTTGCCTTTTGAAGATGACAGGCGCCCCATAGTATGAACAGTCCTGGACAGGAAGTTACCTTTTGAAAGCATAGACGAGTGCCGGTCTTCACGCTTCTGAAGCTTCTCATGGCTTCCTACCATCCACACAATTGTATCCACATCTTGTTCCTTGACATTCAAGGACAGTAGCCATCTGGTTCTGACCCTGCTGCCTGTCTTCCAGTCCCCCTGGCTTCCTCTTCATCAGCTAGTCTTCAATCCCCATCGTCTCCCCCAGTCCCAGGCCAACCCTGCTCTCCTTCCAGGCCCAGATCCTCTGTCACTTCCTCCATGAAGCCTTCTTCAGTACCCTGGCCCCTCCTACAAGAGCCCCCTGCCCCAGCCAGCACCCGGTTTCTGTCTCAGATGGGGCCTGAGCGCTCTCTGTGCCTCCAGGACAGGCCCGGGTTCCCGGTAGGATTCCGTAGATGGGTGTTGAGTGATGGAATGAACAAATGGGTGAGTGGTCAGAAGTGGGATTCCCTGTGGCCGGGCACGCTTCCTGCTGCAGGGTTTCCATCTGATGGACGACCCAGAGAAAGCCTCGGGCCCTCCTGAAAGAGGAACAACAGGCAGGAGGGAAAACGGGGCTGTCTCATTCACGGGATGCAGAGGGTGAGGCTGCCTCATTTTCTTCCCCCAAGGATCTGGGCATCAGATTGTAGCTGGTTTATTGCCAAGGCCCAACCATGTGCTCTAAGTGATAACTGCCTGAACTTGCACTTGAAAATGCAGGCCTTGGGGCACTTCCCATTCCTTCAGTGGCTATTTTTTGGAATCCAGCCACTGCTGGGACATGACTCTCACTTACTTCCTATGCAAATGGGAACAAAAAAGTCCTGTATCTGATCTCCTTCATGTCCCCCACAGTGACCAGCACAGCTTTTTTTCATAAGGAGGGGGATCAGGCAAGCTCCCTGCTCAGGAGGAGGTCACAGGGTGTGGGGGAGATAAGGCAGTGCCAGATAGAAATTGCTAGAGTGCATAATGGACGTTGCTAAGAAGGCCCCGAAGGATGATGGACAAGCAACTGGGCCATTCTGGAGGGGTTTATGAGCCGGCCACTGCAGAGCTTGGGGGTGTGGAGGACTCCAAGGGGAGGTGGCATCTGAAAGGTGGTAGGATTTGGGCAAGAGGAGAAGAAAGAAAAAAAGCACCCCAAGTGGAGGCACTGCAGGAGCAAAGGCCCCTGAGACGCGGGACAGCCCTGGGCACCAGAGAGCGGGGATGCCCTCCTGGATGGAGCGAAGAGTGGGAGAGGAGGTTAGGAAGCGAGTGGAAAACAGTTTCAAAACGAGTTCACGGCCATATGTCCTGGAAGGCCTGGACCATCCCTGAATCACTTGAAGTTTAAAAGTTCAGGGATGCTTGAAATATACTAATTTCGCAAAAATGACGAAAAGTGCAAAAAAATCTCCTACCAACTCGACAGTTGCAGCCCCTGGGTCGAAGAGCAGAGGCAAGAGAGCACATGGCTAGTGACAGGGACACGCCGCTCGCCTTGTTCGTGAAGACACAGCCTGCCATGCTCTTTGGGGTTGAGACATCCTCATCACCGAGTTCTCCCCCGAATGTGCAGTCAGTGACAGCCACTCCCATTGTTTCCCTTACTCTGGTCTTGGAGGGAGGCAGAGCAGCGGTTACCATCCTACCTTGCACTTGAGGCACCTGAGGTCCAGAGAGGAGAGCAATACATTCAAGTCCTTCAGAGCCTGATGGCTCCAAGCTGGGGGGCACATTCACCCCTGAGCCCAATGCCCATGGGGCTGCTAGGCCTGCTCTCTCCCCTGGGGCCTCTGAGCTAGAAGGTACAGCACCTCTGGAAGCTTCAGTTCTGGGGGGCCAGTGCCATCAGCTATTGGACCTCTGGGGTGCACTGCTTCACAGGGGCTTTTGCAAGGAGGGCAGATGGGGGCTCAAATCATGTAGTCCTCGAGCTGGGAACAAACCTGATTTTGGTGGCTGCCCGCAGGCTGCCTCTTAGTCCACAAAGGATCTGGCAAGGATGAAGAAATGGGGGAGCTCAGATTCAGGGGAGTCTGAGGACCCACCACAAGAGGACTCCTGCCCAGACCCCCTGGATGGAGACCCTAATTCCAGGCCAGCTCCAGCCAAGCCCCAGTTCTTCCCCACGGCTAAGAGCCGTAGCCGGCTTTTTGGGAAGTGCGACTCAGAGGAGGCTTCTCCTATGGATTGCTCTTATGAAGAAGGCCAGCCAGCCTCCTGCCCAGCCATCACAGTCAGCCCTGTTGTCATCATCCAGAAGCAGGAGGACGGCCCCGTCTGTGCCAGGTAAGCTGTATCTGGAGCCTGGGCCCTCTCCTCACCAGGAGCCGAACAGGCTCACCTGGCTAAGGCCCCAGCGACGGAGATCACGTGGTGCTCGAGCTTCGGGGCTGCAGGTCCTAGAGCCAGGGAGCCGGTGGCCTTCAGAAATCCTGTGGCCCAGCATCTGCACTCATAGGAGCTTTGGGACACATGGTCATGGATGCTGGCATATATGCTGATCTTAGCTGCCGGCTGATCTCTAGGTGTCCGGGCCTCGAATGCTCAGCAGCCCCAAACATTTAGACTTTCAGTTGAAAAGCTCCAAGCCGGGATGCTTTTAGTCAGAGAGTGCAGAACAGTTCTAGTGAGGAGCCCACCAGCTCTCTTGCCTCCGCCAAGGCAGGTCAGGGAGGGTGACCTACTAACTACTAGCTAGCCTCCGGGCCAGCGTGGGGACAATTTTTCACTTGGCAGTGGCCATCCAAACCCTTGAAACCCCTGCCTCCAGTCCCCTCCAGGCCACTGCCTCCAGAGCCCCAGCTCCTGAACAAACAGGGAAGTGAGGGGCCAGGGCATTGGAGGAAGCGGGGGCAGGGAAGACTTTCTAGATGGTGCCTACAGACGGGGTGGGGATGGAATGAGGGCACATGACTCCACGGTTCCTTGTTACATCAGTTTCCCAGACAGTCCCCTAGACTAAGGGATGGGTTTTGTACCACATTTTCCCCCGTTTTGGTTTGCCCTGGGCTTTCGCCGTGCTCCCTGACAAGCACTGAGGGCAAATCACAATAGTCTGATGAAGGTGTTGTCCGGCCCACAGGCAGCCATCCCAGGATTCTGTCACTGCTGCACCTGAGAAGAGCCTCAAGCTCTATGATCGCAGGAAGATCTTTGAAGCGGTCGCTCAAAATAACTCTGAGGAGCTGCAGAGCCTGCTGCTCTTCCTGCAGAGGAGCAAGAAGCACCTCATGGACAGCGAGTTCAAAGGTGGCCCTGGACAGCCAGATTCCTGGGAGGGGCCGTGGCCGCCGTGCCCCGCTCTGACCCTCACTTTGTCTTGCAGACCCAGAGACAGGGAAGACCTGTCTGCTGAAAGCCATGCTCAACCTGCACGATGGGCAGAATGACACCATCCCCCTGCTCCTGGAGATTGCCCGGCAGACAGACAGCCTGAAGGAGTTGGTCAACGCCAGCTACACGGACAGTTACTACAAGGGTGAGGAGGGGGTGGGGTCTGGCACGGCTCTGTCCACAAGCACACCCGGAGCCCAGAGGCGTTGTCGTGCCTGGGCAAGCCTCTCGGCTCCTTGCTCCCGGCACCAGCCACTGATGGCATGTCCTGCTCCCAGCGGGTCCTTGCCCCCGCCCCACCACCTGCTGGACTTGGTTTCTCCCGGTGCCGACGGTCCCATCCTCGCCTCTGCGCACTGGGTGTTCTTTGCCTCTGGAAGCCATGGCTACTCTCTCTGCTACTGTTCCTTGACGTTGGGTGGTTCTAACTACTCCAGTCCCCGGTCTGGTGTTCCCCTGGGGGTCTCTACTCCTGCCTCAGGGAGTCCCCGGGCCCCCTTTGGGCATTCCGGCCTGCTCTCCTCTTTTGTGGGGGAGTCATCTGGCATTTTTCTGCCCAAGTCTTCCCCCTTGCACCTGTCCAAGCACAGGACTGTGAGTACAAAGCCAACGGCACGCATCTCCACAGGCCAGACGGCCCTGCACATTGCCATTGAGAGGCGGAACATGGCACTAGTCACCCTCCTGGTGGAGAACGGGGCAGACGTCCAGGCTGCAGCCAACGGGGACTTCTTTAAGAAAACCAAAGGGCGGCCTGGCTTCTACTTTGGTAGGGAGACCACATGGCAGACACTTGGCTTTTTGACAATTGCTAAGGGGAGGTTTGGGGTGGAGACAGAGGGATTTGGAGGCTGGGTGGCCCAGGGACCAAGCTAGTCTATTCCTGGGGCCCATCATATGCCTGTGTTGGCCACAGGTGAGCTGCCCCTCTCCTTGGCTGCATGCACCAACCAGCTGGGCATTGTGAAGTTCCTGCTGCAGAACTCTTGGCAGCCAGCAGACATCAGCGCCAGGGACTCCGTGGGCAACACGGTGCTGCACGCGCTGGTCGAGGTGGCCGACAACACAGCGGACAACACCAAGTTTGTGACGAGCATGTACAACGAGATTCTGATCCTAGGGGCCAAGCTCCACCCTACACTGAAGCTGGAGGAGCTCACCAACAAGAAGGGGCTGACACCACTGGCTCTGGCCGCCAGGAGTGGGAAAATTGGGGTACGGGGGAGGCTTCATGCCTGAGCTGGGGCCGTGACTTCCGAGGGTGCTGTTGGGAGGGCGCTGCCTGCCTTGCTGCACACCTGGCGTCACCCCCCTGCAGAGCCCTGCTGCTGTGATACTAGCCTGTAGGGGTGGGGGTAGGGGGTTTTAGAGTAAGCCAGAGGAATTGTGAGATGCTGAGCAGAAGCCAGGCATCACCCCTGTCTCTCTCCGGCTTCCACCTCTGAGCAGCACCAGCCAGACACGGAGTGGGAGTGAGGTGCTGGTGCCTGGGCGTAGGGGTGGGTTGGCCAAGGGTGAAATGGATGCGACCGGGTGTGATCAGCCAAGTGCCATCAGGCAACGATGGGTCTGATGTGGCTACAGCTGGGGTCTGAGTAAGTGGGCAGGTTGGTCAGGAGGCTGCTGCATAGAAGTGAGGGCTCTCCTGAGGCTGGGCTGGGTCTCCAGCTGGCCTAGGAAGCAGACCTACCGTTGAGGCAGAGCCGGTGGCCTGGGGGGGATGCCCCTGTGGCGGGGCTCCAGGCTGGTCTCTCACAGGCTCTTGTATCCCTGTGGTAGGTCTTGGCCTATATTCTCCAGAGGGAGATCCAGGAGCCTGAGTGCAGGCATCTGTCCAGGAAGTTCACCGAATGGGCGTACGGGCCCGTGCACTCCTCGCTCTATGACCTGTCCTGCATCGACACTTGTGAGAAGAACTCGGTGCTGGAGGTGATCGCTTACAGCAGCAGTGAGACCCCCGTGAGTGGGCCTGGGTGGGGCCTGGGCAGGGCGGGCTTCTGGCCTCTCTGCGCCCCCGCCCCCATCCAGCTTTGCCTGTCCTTTCATCAGTGAAGCCTGCTGCCTGGGGCCTAGGCCCTGATGCCTCATCTCCCCACTTATTCCCACTGAATGTTTTCCTTCATCGTACAAATAATGTAGGCTAGTTTTCCCATAAAAACGTAAATATTTCAGATAGACAAAAAGAACCCTCTTTTTATACCATATAAAAACATGTGGCTTCATTTTGTTTACATAAATGGGATCATGCTATACAAAATGTAGAACAAGCAGTTTTTTCACTTACTGGTGTGTCCGTAGATCATTTTATATCGTACATTGGGCCTGCTCCGTTCAAAAACTCCGGCTGCACGGTGTTCCCTAGTAGGGATGGGGAGTAAATGTCCATTGGAGGACATTTAGGTTATTTCCAGTTTTTTGCTACCACAATGCTGCAGGCCACTTGGCATGGGTTTGGGAATTTTTCTAGGACGGCTGGAATTGGAATTGCTAAATCAAAAAAGTATGTATGTTTTAACGTTTTAATAGCTCCTGCCAAGTTGTCCTCCAAAAAGACTGCATCGATTCATTTGCCCACCACCAATGGGTATACATCTACCCATGTCCTTGTCAACCTGGGTATCATCAATCTTTTCTCAAAAACTAATTTAAGTTCTTGGGCCCCAAAATACTATCTTATTGATGTCTTCACTCTCATTTTCTTGACTAACGTGAGGTGGATAATTTTTCATATAGTTATCTGACCATTCATATTTCTTTGGTAGATTTCCTATTCATTGTCCTCAGCCATCTCTTCTACTGGACTGTTGGCCCCATTCCTTTTTGTCTGTAGGTGCTCTTGTTATAGAATGAATTGATCCTTTCTCTACTGCATAAGTTGCAAATATTTTATTTTCTTCCAGTCTGTCTCTTGCCTCCTAACTTCATGTAAGGCATCATTTGCTTATAAAAGTTTTTCATTTTGAGAGTCAGATTAATTAGTCTTTTTCCTTTATAGCTTCTGTGACTTGTATCTTGCTTTGCAAGGCCTTTTCCATTTCAAGATTATACACATATTCTTCAATACTTTTGTTTAGCTCCTTTGTAGATATTTTATGTTTCGCTCCTTAATTTATCTAGAATTTATTTTTGTGTAGGTGTGAGGTAGGCATCTTACTTAATTATTTTGTTTCCAAATGAGGGTCCCAGGGCCACCTAATGAAAAGCCTGTCCTACGACCTCTGCTTTGAAAGGCCACCTTCCCTGTCCATTCTTTCTAAGGTGATACCTGCCCCCGAGGCAGACCCAGGGGGTGGGTCTGTGCTGTCAGTGAGGAGGGGCTGCCACAGGATCTCACAGGACAGAGGCTGTGTTTACAGGGGCAAAGTTCAGGGGAGAGAGAGGTCTAGCCTGCTTTGCTCCGCCCTGCCAGCCTCCCTCTGGGCTGCCTCGCTGAAGCTGGGCTTTGGAGAGGGCTGGCCCATGTCCGTAATGGCTCCAAAAAGGCTGGGGTGTTTGACCTAGAGAGGAGAGGGCTGTGGGGCCATGGCTGCCATTTTCGTGTCTCTGAAGGCTCTCTTGGGCAGAAATTCAGTACTGGGGTCCCTGAGTACAGAACTGGGACAACTGGTGGAAAGCAGAGAAGACCAACTTTACTCCAGAGGATAGATCTTCCTGACAGTTACCATTTCTCCCCAGGCTGTGTGAGGCAGCAAGGCGATTCCTATCCCCAAAGCTATTGAAGAAGTCACTGAACAGAGACCTCACTGGGGGAGCTTAAGCTTGGGCTGGGGGTTGGGCTTGATGGTCTGCAAAGGTTAGGATGACCTGATTTTGGCTCATTCATCTTAGGGATGCTGGAACTTTAACAGAGACTCTGGGATATGAGATTTTGTGGTTTCTGGCTGGGGAGTGAGCCTCATCTCTCTCTGCTCCCCTTAGAATCGCCACGACATGCTTTTGGTGGAACCTCTGAACCGACTCCTGCAGGACAAATGGGACAGATTTGTCAAGCGCATCTTCTACTTCAACTTCTTCGTCTACTGCTTGTATATGATCATCTTCACCACGGCAGCCTACTACAGGCCTGTGGATGGCTTGGTGAGGACTGAGCCTCAGCTTCCGGACAGGGAGTGGGGAGAGCGATGGGCATTCTTATAAGACCCCCAAGACACAGGCCCAGGCCAGGCCCTGAACTCCTTCCCAGCTTGCTGGAGAGATGAAAAAGATCACCTGGAGCTCCTTATGTACCCGTACTCAGCCCTCCACCTCTCAGGCTGTCCTGGTAACACTCCTCCCCCAGCCTTCTCGGTCCCTCCTTTAGCCTCCTGGTTCTGTGAGGCCGAGTGTGTGGTCTACGAGGTCCCTGATGGCAGAGGAGGGATAACAGGTTAGAAAAGATGGAGGAATTAGGGCTCCAGAAGCAGCTCTTCCTTGGGTTGGCTGTCTGCAGGGTCATGGGCTAGCATGAGCCTTGGGCCCATTGCCATCCTGCTAACCTGTCCACTTTTGTTCACTCACTCGCTCATTTTTCATTCCCTGGTTGTCTACTTTTGAGCACATCTTCTTCTTTTTTTCTTCAAAGATTTTATTTATTTATTTATTTGAGAGAGAGAGAGACAGAGAGAGGGAGCACAAGCAGGGGGAGCAGCAGAGGGAGAAGCAGACTCCCCACTGAGCAGGGAGCCCGACATGGGGCTCGATCCCAGGACCCTGGGATCATGACCCGAGCCGAAGGCAGACGTTTAACCGACTGAGCCAGCCAGGCGCCTCTTGAGCACATCTTCTGTGCCAGGCCCTGGGCCATCCTTCACATCAGCTTAAGACCGGACTTCTTCCTCTGCCAGGAGCTATCGACTCCTTTGAGTTACTGAATTGGATCCTTTCTATTCGATACCGAAGCACTTACTTTGTTGCCTTTATTTCCAGGGTGCCTTGCTTATAAATTTGATTTAAAATTCCACTTCCAAGTTAGGTAGAACCTGGTTTCTATCCACCTAGTAGGGCCATTTAATAATTTCATTTTATGAGAAAAGAGAAACATGCTAATAAGACAAGCTAGTGAAGCAGTGTTTACAAACCACCGATGGCCGGCAGAAAGGAAACCCACCCCAGGAAAGTGTCGGAGACACAAGGATGACACAGTGTGGGGGACGTCCCACCTCCCGCCATCCGCGGGCAGCCTTGACAGGGGCCCAGCATGGCTGTGGGAGCAGCGGGAAGCACATGGCATTGAGTCTGTAGGAGTATCTCCAGCTACGCCATCAGGCCCGTCTCGGCAGAGCTCCGGGCCGGGACGCTGTCTGGGAGGTAGCACAGCACGGTGAGGATGCTCTGCCTGGCACCTAGGGGCTGCCGCTTGGGGAATCGGGTCCCACAGAGGGGCCTCCTTGCAATTGTCCCCAGTAATGCATGGTCTTTAATTATGCCTCTCTCTTTTTTTAGATTTTGTTTATTTATTTGACAGAGAGATATAGTGAGAGAGGGAACACTAGCAGGGGGAGTGGGAGAGGGAGAAGCAGGCCTCCTCCTGAGCAGGGCTCGATCCCTGGACCCTGGGATCATGACCTGAGCCGAAGGCAGACGCTTAACAACTGAGCCACTCAGGCACCCCTATGCCTCTCTCTTGATAGAGGGTGAGCCTCTTGGGCAGGGGCTGACTCTCAATCACAGGGCTTGGTAAATGTTTGTTGAGTGAATAAATAAGTGAATGGAGTCACTAACTTCTCTGCACCTTGCAGCCTCCCTATAAGCTGAAACACACCGTTGGGGACTATTTCCGAGTCACTGGCGAGATTCTTTCTGTATCAGGGGGAGTCTACTTTTTTTTCCGAGGGGTAAGCATTCCTTCCCACACTGTGAGTTTCCATTATCGCCAAAACAAAAAGCCAAGAGACTCACTCATTGCTCACTCACTCTTTAATTCATGGGAGAGATACACAGGTGAAGATGAGAGCCCTCCAAACATTCACGACTGGGCGTTGAGGGTCTGTCCAGTGGGTTCCTGCAGGCCCAGGGTAGTCACGTTCGAAGACAGTCAGGACCCCTCACTGAATGTACAATTGACCCTGAACACTGTAGGGGTTAGGTGCGCCAACTGCCTCCACAGTCAAAAATCTGCATATAACTTTTGACTTCCCCCCAATTTAACTACTAATAGCCCACTATTGACTGGGAGCCTTACCAATAACATAAACAGTCAATTAACACACATTCTGTATGATATATGTATTGTGTACTATATTCTTACAATAAAGTAAGCTAGAGAAAAGAAAATGTTATTAAGAAAATCATAAGGAAGAGAAAATACATTTACAGTACCATACTGTATTTACCAAAAACAACAACAACAACAACAAAACTGCATGTAAGTGGTCCCTCACAGTTCAAAACCATGCTGTTCAAGGATCACCTGTAATATTTAATTACAGAAGTAGAATGGAAGCGTCTTAAGTGACAGGATCATGACTGGTAGTTGTTCAATTAATCCAAACAGTCTGTTAAAGTTCAAAATAATGAAAGAAATTTACACATATACTGGTATCATTTTATTTTACCTGAAAATACATGCATATTCCTTGGCAATTTTTCTAACATACGAACAGTCTTTTCTTTGAAATTGGGACCACTGTTACAGGTTACATTGTTACAAATAATTGGAGATTATTGTGATTTTTTCCCCTTAATCTTTTTGATCTAAGCTACACCCAATTTTTCTTAGTGACTACCATTAAGGAGTCTTTCCAAATCATTGGACTCTGTCTTCACAGAAGCAACTCTCTTTGTTTTGCACTCGTATTTTACATTATAATAAAATACAAAGCCACAGTAGCAAGTTGCAGTGGGCAAAAAGCACTCTTGGCAAGCAGGCTTAACCGGTGGGAGGGAGTGGAGTGTGTGCGTGTCCGGGAGAGGATCTCCTAGCCACCAGCACTGACTGTGAGCATCAGTCAGAATGATTTCAGGGAGTGGAGAGCCCTGCCTAGTCTGGGGATTTAGTTCAGTGGAGGCTGATTAAATTTTTACTCTAATGCACAGTTCTTAAAGAAAACTAGGAAAAAATGCACATATTAAGAAGGAGAAAAAAATCTCTCCATCTCATCATTCAAACACAGCAATTAATAATATTTTGATGATTTTCCTTCCTGTCTTTGTTTCTAGCTATAGTTGTAATTCCACTCTCTATTTTTAAAAAATCTCTCCCAACTGAGTTACATAACACTACCTGTTAGCCACACTGTTCTACCCTCTTCAGAGTCTCTGCTCTGATGCACTCCTGTGTTCCACTGTAGGCTCTTTAGGAAACATTGCAAGTGTTCACCATGTAGCCTTTTCTGGGATCTCACTCTCTCTGTTTGCCTACAGATTCAATATTTCCTGCAGAGGCGGCCATCAATGAAGACCTTGTTTGTGGACAGCTACAGTGAGATGCTTTTGTACGTGACCTTTTGACTCTCATGCCTCAGTAGCACACAGCATCTTCTGGCCCCGTCCTAAGATTAGTGCCCTCCGTTCTCACCCATCCTTTTACATGTGCTGGGCCTGGAACATAGTAGGACCTCACAAACGTGTTGAATGAACGATGGAAGGCCCTCAGCAAATGTGTGTTGAGTGAGTGGATGCTGAGGCTCTTCTCTGTGTCAAATATGCACGAGGTGCTAGGGAATGACTGGGCTTGGCTTGTGTGGCTTGGGGTCTGCGTTACAGTCGGAACGCTCCTGTTCATTTCTTTCATACATTTGTCCGACCATTTGGCATTCACTGAATTGGCACTGGGATACTGAGATGAAACAGATATGATTCCTATCTTCAGGGAATTTCCAATCTTTAAGGCAGGGTTTCTCAGCCTTGGTACTGTGGACATTTTGGACTGGATGCCTCTTTGCTGTGGGGGCTGTCCTGTGCATTGTAGAAGGTTTAGCAGCATCCCTGGCCTCTACCTTCCAGATGTCCCCCAGTCTTGACAGCCAAAAATGTATCCAGATATTGACAAATGCCCCCCACTTGGGGAGGTACACTGCTTTATGGGGAGACAGATGAGCAAAAACAGAGTTATAAAACAATGTGGTTGTCACTGAGAACCTCCTTCCTTCACAAAATAAACTGGAACCTTAGGAAGTTTCCTTGCAGGACCCAGGATACAGAGGGGGTCTTCAGATGGGGATGGATTCTTCTCCTAGGATCTCTTCTATGGACTTTACTCTGATCTCCAGGTTTCCCTCATTCCTGAGGCCTCTTTCTTTATTCCTGGCAAATGCAAGGAGTTGATTCTCATCCAATTGTAGCTAGCTTGTCCCTAAGCCTCACAAACCCCATCCTTTTACTATAATCTTGAGATGCTTACACTTTTATTTTGTTTTGTTCTTTATTGGTTTCAGGGGTCGAATTTAGTGATTCATCAGTTGCATATAACACCCAGTGCTCATTACATCAAGTGCCTTCCTTAATGCCCATCACCCAGTTAATTACCCCTTTCCCCCACCCACCTTCCCTCCAGCAACCCTCAGTTTGTTTGCTAGAGTTCAGCATCTCTTACGGCTTGCTGCCCTCTCAATTTTCATCTTATTTTATTTTTCCTTCCCTGCCCCTATGTTCATCTATTTTGTTTCTTAAATTGTACATATGAGTGAAATCGTATGGTATTTGTCTTTCTCTGAGATACTTACACTTTAACCCCAAAGAACAGGGTCTGTAGGGTTAGTGCAATGCTGGTTTGCTTTACTAAGAGAAGCAATATTCTCCTACATAGCATTGTGCCAATAAACTTGATTCTATTTCTAGGAATACCCATTGTAGGCAGGTTAGAAATTTATTTTATTTTAATTTTTCAAAGCTACCCATGCACATAGGGAAACACTGAAGAGCACTAAAAAGCTTATAGCCAGGATATGAGTCCCTCATCTTAACCCTTCCCATTCCTTGCATTCCTCCTTCCCAGGGACAATCACTTTTCATTCTTGTAACTTTCTTCTGATGTTTACTCACCCAGTAGATGACGATTTAGCATCTTTGTACTTCCTTCCTTTCTGCTTCCACTCCTCTAGCCTTCTAATATGGTTCATAGTAATTTCTGTTTTCCTGGATATTGAGTAATTTATGTTCTTACGTCTCTACATGTAGTAATCACAGTCAACCTTCATGATATACTATATTTCTTTTTTTCCTGTTTCTCCTAAAGTTAGTAATTGTCTTGTTTTTATTTGTTTAGTTTTATTTGTATCCACTGTTAACTCGTCCCACACATCTTGAAGTCTCTCAGTACAATTTTTCTCAAAATCAGTCACCTAAATTATATGATCGGAATCCCCTGCTCCTTTTCTTTTTTTCCTTGAGAGATTTCCTCCTGAAATGCTGTCCTCTCTTTCTAACTGAGCTGGTTGCTCTCTGGGCCTGCTGCTTAGCTGTCATCCTGGGACTCCACTTTGCTGCCAGCCTTGGGATACTCACTGCTTTCCTCCTGGGTTAGACTTCTTGTCTCTTTCTTGATTTTCCTCCTTGTTTTGTTTGAGCACATCCTTCAGTATTGTCATCTGGTGAAAAGGATGGTCTTATGGTAGAGAACACAGTGATGACAGCTTTCCATACCTGGTTCTTGAGTCTCATTGCTGCCACGTATACATCCAAGGTGTTAACCCTTCACTAGCACCTTGGAGATCCCTTTCACCTCTCTCCTGATTTGAATCCCTTATTTTCTGAACCTTATGTCTTCCTCTTTACTGATCCACTCCCTTGTTTGGGGGGAAGGCATCCTTTAGCCATAGAGAGAAGACACATAGTAGGGAAGGGGGGAGTAAAATTTATTTTAAATCTGGCATGTCTGATAATATTCTACTATACCTTCATGTTTGGTTGATAGCTTGGTTGGGTATAAAATTCTTCTAAAAATTTGAAGATATTTCTCCATTGTTTCCTTGTGTCCAGTATTATAGATGACAAGTCCAAAACCATTCTGATCCTGGATCCTCCTTTAAGACCTTGTTTTGTTTCTCTCTTTGTAAATCTGTAGTACCTTCCATTTGTTCCTAGTGTTCTTAAACTTAATGATGTATCTTGATGTGGATGTGTTTTTATCCAATGTTCTGGGCACTTAGGGGGCTCTTTCAATCTGGAAATTTATATCTTTTATTTCTTGATTTCTCTTCTGGAACCCTATGATATATATATTGAACTTCCTGACCTAGTCTGAACCAGTTCTTATATTTTTCCCACTTGGGTTTTATCTCTTTATCTTTGGCTCTTCTTTCTGGGAGGTTCAAGTCAACTTTAATTTCCAACACTTCTATTGAATTTATTATTTTTTGTATCATGTTTTTAATTTCTAAGTACTCTTTAAAAAATTCTTTGTTCCTTATTTATAGCATTCTATTCTTGTTTCATTGATGCAATCTTCTTTTGTCTCTCTGAGACTGTTAAAATAGTTTTTGGTAAACTTTTTCTTTTTGCATAGGTTTTATTTTCTCCAAGTTGTTGTTTCCCATTTTCTTGTTTTGCTCTATCTTTCATGTTAGAGGATATTTGGAAATTTTTGCTGGCTGCTCATGAGTAAGAGTGGAGGACTGAAAAGCTGGTTGGAAGCTCTTTTTAAAATTTTTTAAAAAGATTTTATTTATTTATTTGACAGAGAGCAGGAGAGAGAGTGAGAGAAAGCACAAGCAGGGGGAGCAGCAAAGGGAGAGGGAGAAGCAAGCTTCCTACTGAGCAGGGAGCCCAAAGCGGGGCTTAATCGCAGGACACCAGGATCATGACCGGAGCCGAAGGCAGACACTTAATTGACTGAGCCACCAGGTGCCCCTAGAAGCTCTTAATGCGTGAATAGGGCTTATCAATTTTGAGCTTCACTATAAACTAGTCTATGTAAGCTCTTTATTGAAGAATATCCAAAGTTAGTCGATTGTATCTTTTCAATTTTCTACTTGGAGGGAAGAAGTCTGGTTGCCAGATTTCTGAGAACTGAGTGGAAAAGAGGGATTTCTGTAATCTGTATTATATAAAAATCATATAGTCTCCTGCTTTTGGTAAAATACCAATGCTTTCACTGTTGTTTGATGAAAGTGGGTCCAAAGATCCTGTTTTATCTTCTTCAGAGACAAAACCTCCACTCTTCCTTATTTTAGGTCTCTTCATCTCTCCTCCAGCAGTCCCTAAGCCTTTTGAGACTTTCCCCCTACAGATTTGGATTTGGTTTTGTTGCATCTGCTAAGTCAGTTTCCATTTGTCCACTGCTTCCCAAATTCATATGTGGGGGCTCCATTTGCCACCCAAGGCAACTCTTTATCTATCTCAACTGGTGTCAGTTCTTATCTTGGCTAAGGCTCTGCAAATACAGAGGAATAAAGTTCTGCAAATACAGATGAATAGTTTTCCTTTGCAGCAGAATTGATGAGCCCAGTCTACTGACATCAATTTGCAGTAAACTCACGTCAGCGCTTTTTGCTGGGTTCTCCCCTACAAATGGGAGTTGAGGTGGCCAGTGTGGTCTATAGTGTAAAGAGAGCTGGGGGAGCTTTCAGGAGGAGGCCGTGATAAACAGGAGACCTGGGATGAATATGTAAAGAAGGGAGCCCTAGGGAGACTCTGACATAGGATTATCAGATTTACTCTACCTTATCCATGGATCCTACTTAGGTAGCCCTCAGCAGGCCAAGTTGCTGAGGGACATCTTCCCTGGCTCTGCTTCTGAGTTTGAGGGTGTGACCTGCAGACTCCACTGTGATTTTTCAGGAGAGCCTGGCCTGCCCCTCCTTACTGATAAAATCAGCCTTTTTTCATTATTGCCTTTTTAGATGTTTTTTTCCTAATTGCCCCTTCCATGAAATCTAGTACCACAAATATACTGTATAGTTATCTATGTACTGCGTTAATATTTGTGCTTTCTACAAAAAGAGAGTAAGATTTTGCACCCCCCCTAGCCAACTTTTGCCCTCTTGGGGTTGCTGTTGCTCCCACTGGCTAAAGGAGGCAGGACAGCCAACCCTGGCTCCTACCACAGCCTGTGGTCTGTGCTTCTGAGGGGTGCCAGGTCTTCTGGGTGCTCACAGACAGAGCTTCCTATCCCTCCACCTTCAGTTTTGTGCAGTCACTGTTCATGCTGGGGACCGTGGTGCTGTACTTCTGCCACCACAAGGAGTACGTGGCCTCCATGGTGTTCTCCCTGGCCATGGGCTGGACCAACATGCTCTACTACACCCGCGGCTTCCAGCAGATGGGCATCTATGCTGTTATGATTGAGAAGGTGGGTGCCAGTGTCCAAGCAGTTTCTCCACAGAGCCCGTCTATACCATGGGTGCGTGGGACATGGTCTACAAACTGTCCATCCTCTGTAATGTCTGGGGAGGTGTTGGTTTAGTTCAGGACCCACTTTCCCAGCTAATTCCTCAAGAATCAGGCTATCTGGCCCTGACCCAGGTTTGGGGGCTCCCCTGAAACTTGACCCCTTTACATACCAGGCCCCCCTCTCCCACCAGATCAAAGGCCAAGGAGGGGGGAGTTGTGGGTGATGTCCTTATGACCCCAGAACTGAAAACCACCAAACCAAACCCTCCTGCATGTTCTCCAGTTCTACTTGGGCTCAAGATTAACCCCCAGGCTGACATAGTCCTGACCCTTCCCTTGGCCTTGTCTGGGACTGGACTCGGTTCTGACAAGCCTGCTCTCTCCTGCAGATGATCCTGAGAGACCTGTGTCGCTTCATGTTTGTCTACCTTGTTTTCTTGTTCGGGTTTTCCACAGGTAATGGGCTTGCTCGGGGCTGGTGGTGGGCAGAGACCCTGCTCACCTCAGCTTCCTGAGGACTCTGCAGGGGCTGGGTGGGGAGAGGCCGGCTGGGGTGTGTATCTGCAGGTGACAGAGCTGGAAAATAACACAGAGAAATGAGCAGGAGAACCTGGAAATGTAATTCATAAAACATTGTAAGCAATTTTAGAGGTATGAAGTGCTGCTTGCCTAAAGTATAGCTGCATTTTGGCTTATTTTTTTTTAACTTTTTATTTTTAATTAATTAATTGAGAGAGAGGGAGAGGGGCAGAGGGAGAGGGGGAGAGAGACTCTTAAGCAGGCTCCATGCCTAGCTCAGAGCCTGACTCACAACCCTGAGATCATGACTTGAGCTATAATCAGGAATTGACACTTAACTGAGCCACCCAGGTGCCCCTTTTTAAATTTTAATTTTGACATTATTTCAGACTTTCAGAAAACTTGTAAATAATGCAAATAACTTCTTTACTTATTATCCTGATTCCCCAAATTTTACCACATTTTAAAATCACATTCTCTCCCTGATACACACACACACACACACACACACACATGCGCACATGCACACCACCACCACCATACTTAAAAAGAAAAAAAGTAAGCTGCAGACATGATCAGCCCTTTACCACTGGATAAAGCCTGCATTTCCTAAAAACAAGAATATTTTCTTACATAAACAATGTATAATGATCAAAATAAGGAAATAAACATCAATACAGTACTATTAGCTAATCTACCAAACTTATTCAGATTTCACCAATTGTCCTAATAATGTCCTTTAGAGAAATGAAAATCCCAGATCAGGAATTACATTCACTTGTCATGTCTCTTTGGTTTCTTTAATCTGGAGTGGTTCCTCAGTTTTTCCTTGTCTTTTGTGACCTTAACATTTTTAATGAGTAAAGGCTAGTTTTTACAATGTCTCTCAATTTGAGTTTGTCTGATGTTTCCTCACAGTTAGATTCAGGTATGCATTTTTTTATCAGAATGTCAAGGAAGTAATGTGTGTCTTCCTCAGTGCATTGTATCAGGAGTCCCACAATGTTTGTTTAGTCCATTTCTGGTGATGTTAGCTTTAATTACTTGGTTTTGACGGGTCTGCTAGATTATTGTCAAGTAATTACCCTTCCCTTTGGAATCAATAAGTAATTTGTGAGGCGATGCTTTGAGACTAGGTAGATATCCTATTTCTCATCAAACTTTCAACTGGTAGTTTTAACATCCACTGATGATTCTCACTTGAATCACTTAATCCTAATAGTTGCCAGACGACAATTTTCTAACTCCGTCATCCCTTCGACATTTATTAGCTGGCATTCTATTGTAGGGAGGAGCTTTCCATTCTCCTACATTCATTTATTGTTTACATCAGCATGGCCTCACAGATTCTTTTCTGGTTTTGTTTCTTTTTCGTGTATTCTCACTTTGTTAAATGGGTTATAATCTTTCCTGTTACCACCTATCTTGATGTTGAGATTGTCTGAGTAATCGTATTCACTTGGGGCCTCTCCAAGCTGGTTCCTGTGCCCTCTGACACACACACAGCATTTCTGGACACCTGGTTCTTCTTTGATCCTCATCTGAGTCCTGCAGTTACGTGGTTCATACGCACACCCTCCCCTGTCCCCACCCCACGGCCTGTTTTGGAATCTCTGTCTCAGAGTTATGGACAGCTTTGACTAGGAGCTTTGACTGACAGGGATGGGTGTGGGCTCTGGCACCTGGTCTGTCGGTCCCCCCAGGAAGTGGGTTAATGGATACCGGATACAGAGTAACCATGGGGCACAACTGTTAGAGAAGCTCTCAGGCTCCAGATTATATTTCCCAAAGAAAGGTGTAGCAAGCAGCAAGAGACTCTTCTGCTCTGAGCTGCTTAGTCCCTATCATTCTGGAATGAGCTGGCTCTGGGTCACCCTCTAAGGGGTACAGGCAGACAGGGGGTGATTGAGAAGCTGGGTATGGATTCAGAACTGATATGTAAAGTTAGGCAGGTTGTGTGCTGCACAAAGGTGACTGTATTCACATTGTATATATAGATTTGCATATTTATTTTAACAGTTTTCTCCTAGCAGAGGATGATAAAGTTCTTATTGTAACAGAACAGTATACAGTTGGCCCTTGAACAACCTGGGGATTAGGAACACCAATTCCCTGCACAGTCAAAAATCTGTAAATAATTTTTGATTCCCCCAAAA